GCCTGGGTCTGCTTTGAGCTTAGTGTATTAAGAGGGGGGGAGGAGGGGGGGGGGGGGGGTTTGTAGGGGGGAAAGGGGGCGGGGCTTTTCTCTTGGTTTTCCTTAGTGTTCGCCTCTCGACCAAAAGAACTTCGATGAAACCCTGAAAATAGCACACGGACTCCACGGAGGGAAACGAAAACCTAGACGGCGTCGCCGGGGGCGACGGAGGGGGCGGGGCCTTCAGACGGACGCGGCGCGGTGCGTTCGGGATGCGACGATCAAGTTTTAAAGGGCAGCTAAAGTGACCGATGTGGGTTGAGTCTGCAGGGAAACCCCCCATTTAAATACATCTCTAACAACATAATGGCAGCCATACATACATATATATATACTCATATATATGTATATATATATATATATATTCATAAATAAGGTGAGACGTCCACCAACAGGTAAAATTTTGGCTCTAAGCTGCGTCTTCTGGGCAGCTGCTCCTTCTCCCAAAAAACTCCGGAAAAGCAGTAGTGCAACGAACTTCCTCAGATTATCCCTCTCCCTGTTTTTCCGGAGGCCGAGCGGGCCGAGCGGGTTTTTCCCCCGCGAGGCGACGGGAGCTAAATCAAAAAAGGCATTATTTGAAAAAATAAGGCTACCAGTCGGAGGGGGGCGTTTAACGGCCCCCCCGGGACTGAGCTACATTCCACCTCCGACGCCCGGAAAGAGAGAGAATTAAAAGCTCTTATCTGTCGGCGACGTCCTCTTTTTTTAAGTCGTCTCTCTTTCTGTCGCCCGGAGACGCTCGTCTACTTCTTCTTCTTGAACAAGTTCTTGATTTTGGAGGAGGAGCGCTTGGTTCTCTCCCCGTTGTCGCTGGAGTCCTGGGAGGAGGTGCTCTGCAGCTTGTGCTCCCTCCCCAGGCTCCGCCCCTCCGAGTCCAGCGAGCTGAGGGAGGGCTGGCGCCCGGCGGCGGGCAGCATGGCGGCGGGCAGCTGGCCGTAGCTGTAGCTCTTCTCCAGGAGCCCGTTGTAGAGGCTCTTCCCCGGGGGGGGGGG